GCCCACCCAAATGAAAACCCTGCCCACAATAATGAAGAGTAGCCTCTGCTCACCGCAACCAGAAGAAGCCTGCACACAGCAACGAAGATGCAACACAGCCAAAAATAAATAAATAAATAAAAATTTTAAAATAAATAAATTGCTGTTAAAAAAAATTATATATATATATATATATATATATATATATATATATATATATATGTACCTTAATGGCATGTTGATTATTTTAAAAAAAATAATATGGTCAGCTTTTTGAATTTTGATAGTAATTCCGGTTCAACAAGTACTATCACTCTTTTCCCCTTCTAAAGAGATGATTAAACTTGAATAAGAAATGTTAAACTTTTCAGGCATATAGTGAATGCCTTCTCAAACCCTATAGGAGATTGGTTTTATATTTAGATTTATATAACTGTTTATATTAATATATTTAAATATTAAGAAGATTTCTTCACTGTCTCATAGAACAGCAAGATTCACCTGTGTTTCAAGTTGTGTTCATTTGCCTGTTAAGGCAAGGGCTGAAGATACACTGGCAATGTCCAGTTTCTCTTTTTGGTCTTAACTGTGCCAATTTAATTAAAATTCTCTATCTATCTAAAATATTGCCTTTTACTTAATGAAAAGCATTTTAGTGTGGCTTATGTATAGCATCAAATAAAGAATACTTAGTACTTCTTACACACATACCACAAAAATAATAATATTCATTGACCAAATAATTTAATTTCTATGTATCTTTACTGAGAAAATAGTAAACCACTTGGATGAAGATTTATATACAGAGATATTCATTGCAGTGTTATATATAATAGTGAAGAGTTGAAATCAACCTAAATGTTCAATAATAGAATAGCTAAATAATTTATAGTATATTCAACTTAATAGATTTTTTATAGTCATTAAAAATACTGTTTTAGAAGACTTATTTAATGGCATTGAAAATGTATAATATAATGTTAAGTGAAAAATCAAACTTTAATATACAGTTTGGTCTAAATTTTAGAAGGGGATAAAGGAAGGAGATACAAACACAAAAAAAGTACATCAACTTGTTAATGGTGGTGATCTCTAGGTAGGTAGGATACAGGAGATTTAATTTTCTTCACACCTTTCCATTCTTCCCAGATTCTATATACATTAAGGGTTTATTAACTTTATAATAAGGGCTATGGCCAAATGTTATATAAAAGTAGTGATCTGACATTTGTATGGAAGATAGATTAGAAGAAGGAGAAAGTTAGGGTGGTAGTGGGAATGGAGAGGATAAAGAAAATCTAAAAGTCATTTTAGGAATTCCCTGGCAGTCCAGTGGTTAGGGCTCTGCGCTCCCACTGCAGGGGGCACAGGTTCAATCCCTGGTCGGGGAACTAAGATCCTGCATGCTGCGTGGTGCAGCCAAATAAATAAATAAATAAAAATTAAAAAAAAACATTTTATAAGAAGAAACTCTAGGATGTGAAGACAAATTGGATGTGGCAGATAAAGGGTTTCTAGCATGATCAAAATTAAGGTAGCAAAGAAGAGAATCCTATTTAATAGAGGAAAGATTTAGTTTTAGACACAATTGAGGATGATTGACATCTAAGGGATGTTCTCCTGTAAGTAGTTGAAAATACAGATGAAGTTTGTTTCTCCAATGCTAGTATGTCCTTGAAAGTATGTAGTGTTTTTTTTAAGACTTGGCAATAATTAGTATTTTTTACTCATTGAAATTATTCTAAATTTAGAGAGGTTTTACTTATTGTATGCTATGTTCATGATATTACTGCTTCATTTTCCTTGAATGTACCATGTAAAATAACTGATTAGCAAACGTTAGTCTGGCTTCACCTTGTTTTGCTTTGGACTGGCTCAGAGTTCTCATGTTTCCATTATGATTACTCTCATAGTTGTTGTTATTGCTGAAAATTACTATGTTTGAATAAGAAATGTAATTATTACCCCAACAATATTTATTTTTTATTTTTCTATGAATTTTAGGCAATGAACATTTTGACTTCAGTATTGCTTCTGTATGCAAAAGAGGAAGAAGCTTTTTGGCTTCTGGTTGCTGTATGTGAACGAATGTTACCTGATTATTTTAATCGTCGAATCATTGGTAAAAAACAAAACACATATACGTATACGAACACATATTTCTTTTCTAAACAATTTATAGGCCTCTTGTCTATCCAGTTACCTATCAAATGGAAGAACTGATCAATTAAGTTGCAAAATATACAAAATGCAAGCAATATCAAAATGTCACATTCACTGACATACTCAAGAGAAGAGCTTTTTGCACTGAACATATGATTGGAAAAACGTATTATTTAATATGTTGCTTTTTAAAAATAAAGTGCCTGGTCTGTTTCCTTATAAAATAGAAGTTTTAAGTTTACAATCTCTGTATTGCTAAAACAGTGGTAATCTGAAGCATCTGGAGCTACTGGAAAAATTTTAATAGTCTCTTTATGTGAGAGAGGTTTTAATCAGCTTAAAAAATCCACATTTTTATGAATTGTATAGATATATGCAAGCTTTGAAAGAAGGATCAAGTTCTTAGTTTGTTACTTATATAATATTTTCTTCAGTCATCAAATATTTGTAGATCCATGATCCCCTACCTTTAAACCATAGGCGGTCTCCTTTGTACCCTCATAAGCCTTCGGTGTCATGGCTAGGTCGTTGACCGTATTGTCTTGTGTTATAATTGTCTATTTATCGCAAGTTCTATTAGAGATTAAATGCTTTGAAGATGAGACCATTTAATTAATTGATGTATCTCTTATAGTACCTATTACAGGTTTCTGCACATAATAAAGATTCCATAAATAACTGTTCCAATGAATATGAATTGAGTTTCTCAAGTGCTTCTTGATGCATGATACTGCTAGCAGATAAAGAGATGCATGAAATATAGAAAAGGCACTGAAGAAGTTCATAATTTAAGGAAGAGAATGAGATATATCAGCCTACTAATAGAAGTGGGAAGGTATTGGAAACAAGTCCTTTTGAAAGGTGTTCATTTTAAAATTTCTTTTTATGTTCTCCAGGTGCCTTGGTGGATCAGGCAGTCTTTGAAGAACTTATCAGAGATCACCTTCCCCAGCTGACTGAACATATGACTGATATGACATTCTTTTCCTCAGTTTCTCTCTCATGGTTCCTCACACTTTTTATTAGTGTGCTACCTATTGAAAGTGCAGTGAATGTGGTGGACTGTTTCTTCTATGATGGAATAAAGGCCATTTTACAACTGGGATTGGCAATACTTGACTATAATTTAGACACACTTGTGGCATGTAAAGATGATGCTGAAGCCGTGACAGCTTTAAACAGGTACTGTGAGAATCATAACATTTAAATCTGGAGAGCCCCTTAGAGCTTATGTTGTTCAAACCCCTTATTTTATATATGAGGAAACTGAGCCCTAGAAACTTTAAATAATTTGCCCAAGGTCACAAAACTGGTTGAATGAAAACGCTAGGCCTAAAGTCCACTCCTCTGTTTCTAAATAGAATATAACAAAAGTAAGTCAGTCACTTTGAAGTAAACCACTAGGTTATATATACATTTACACTAACATCTAATATGGTTGATTCAGTATGCTGGGACTTTCATAGTCCCAGTTCGAGCTATAAAGTGTGTAAGAGTAATTTGAGGTGGGGGAAGGTGGTTGATAATATTAAATGTCCAGTGGGGGGAAATTGTTCTGGTTTTCAAGTGGTTTCAATCAGGTAAGCTGAGCTTTATTTTCCTGGTGCCTTTTCTGTGAATTCTATTTTGTATTGAAACACATGTGTGGGATGTGTGTGTGTGTGTGTTTGTGTATACACAGTATATGTTAAATGAATGAATATATGAATATTTGGGTAACTTGTAATGGTGCATCAAATCCCATTTATGTACAGAATAAAGTATAAACACCTCACTCTGGTATTTAGAACTCTCAATGTTAAGGCCTCAATGTATCTTTCTTAAATTATGTCTCCTCACGTGCCTCTACATACCGTATATTCCACCCTTACTGGGCCATGTGATATTTTCTGAGAACTCTCTGAGCCTATCTGCTTCCCCATGCTCTCCTCCCCACCTCTGAAGTCATTTCATCACCATCCCATTTCCCACTCCCATGTCCTCCTAATTCCTAACCATCTTCAAGTTCTACTCCCTCATAAGACTGTCTCTGGTCCTCTCGGTAGAAATTAATCTCGAACTAGGGAGAAATTAGCTGTCATTTTCTCTGCATTTTACTTCTACTGATTCTTGTATTACTGTCACTTTTGGATAGGTTCTTTGACAATGTCACTAATAAGGATAGCCCGTTGCCTTCAAGTGTGCAGCAGGGTTCAAATGTAAGTGATGAAAAAAGCAGTCATATTAGAGTGGATATTACAGATTTGATTAGAGAGTCAAATGAGGTAAGTTTTTCTTATATCATAAATATAATTACATAGCATATTTAAAATGATAGATACTATAGTTATATCTCTAGTGGTATATTAAGAGTAAGATAATAATACATGTAAAGATGTAGTAATGTAAAATCTGACTTCACTTTAAAAATGAGTTCTATCGGGCTTCCCTGGTGGCGCAGTGGTTGAGAGTCCACCTGCCGATGCAGGGGACACGGGTTCGTGCCCCAGTCAGGGAAGATCCCACATGCCGCGGAGCGGCTGGGCCCGTGAGCCATGGCCACTGGGCCTGTGCGTCCGGAGCCTGTGCTCCGCAACGGGAGAGGCCACAACAGTGAGAGGCCCGCGTATCGCAAAAAAAATGATTGTTCCACTCTAGGTTTGATCATTTGCTAAGGGCTCATTTTTGAAATCTCTTTGATTTCTGAGAGAAAAAAAAAAAAAAAAAAAATGAGTTCTATGAACTGTTCCTACGTTATATAGCTTTCTCTGCTTCAGTTTGCTTTTCATTAAATGAAACTATTCAGATAGTTTTACAAATAATGACCACTTTTAAATATCTATCACTGCATAAAAAGGTGAAAAATATTCTCTTCTTAGAGACTAAGAATTTTACCAGTGTTCTTGTACTTAAGTCTAGACCCATAGTAGATGGAATCCTCTCCTGTGAATATATAGAAAAACTGAAATGTGGGAGGTGAAAATTTGCATAATCACTGAACAAGTTGGGAAAATAGCTAGGAATAGAACCAAGGCCTCTGAGAATTGAATCTGATGAAATTCAATTGTAAGAAAAGTGGATATTTATTATGAATGAGTATCCACTGAAATCATATTTCTTGCAGAAATATGGGAATATTCGCTATGAAGATATATACAGCATGCGCTGTCGAAATAGGTTGTATGTGATACAGACCCTAGAGGAAACAACAAAGCAGAATGTGGTGAGTATCCACCCAATGGGGGAAAACCAATTGGAGTAACATTTTTTTCCTGAACTTCATTTAAAAATTATCATTTCATGTTAAGAAAATAAAATAACTATACATTTGAGCTAGATTCTTGCCACAGCTTAGCTTACTGTAAATTTTTTGAGAGGAAATAAGTGATTTTCTTCTGGTTGAAACATTGGTTTTCCAACATGTTTTGTGTTATGTGACCTTTAATATTGAATGCTATGATGTAGGCATTTAAGCATAACATATTTGTGATGTGCTTCATCAATAAGAACAGCTGACCTACATAGTACTCTAGGCTGCTAATATGTATTATTATCCTTGGATACCCAAGATAAAGTGAAAAAGGAATAAACAGTGTGTTTTAAGTACTCCTTTTTAGTATTTGGATGACTACATTAGAAGCTGTTAATATTGGTTGCTTCTGGTGAGTGGGATTAATAGATTTCTGGTTGGAAGAGAGAGTGTTTTACTTTGCTGTATGAATCCTTCTGTGCTGTTTGAGCTTTTATCATGAGCATGTATTGTTTTTGTAAACCTACTTGCTAAAAGGTTAAGTCCTCAGAGCTACAAATCTGGGAAAATTAACATTTCTGAATACGTGCTCATTGTGAATAATTCAAACATTATAGAAATGTAAAAAAGTAGAAGTTTCCTACCCCAGGAGTAACTAACATTAAAATGATTTGGCATGTATCCTTCCAGATCTTTTTTCTAAATATCTATAGACGTAAATGTGTATGTGGTGGCGGAGAGGGGGACAATATAGCTTTTCAAATGAGATCATACCAGTTACTTTGTTCTGCAACATTTTTCACTCAGAGCTATATCATGGTCATTGCATATCATTGCATACCTCGCTTTTCTTAATGCACTGAATAGTATACCACAGTATGGGTATGCTATACTTTACATAACTGTTCCTTGTTGATATGCATTTAGTAGGTCTCCCTCTCTCTCTCTTTCATTTTAAAGTTTTTTCGCTTTTGCAAGTAATACCTTATCTAAACAACATGGGTTTGAACTGCACAGGTTCACCTACATGTGGATTGTTTTCAATAAACATGTACTACAGTACTGCAAGATCGATGGTTGGTTGAATGTGCAGATGTGGAACCATGGATGGGAAGGGCCAACTGTAAAGTATATGCAGATTTTTGACTGTGTGGAAGGTCAGCATCCTTAACCCCCGAGTTGTTCAAGGGTCAACTGTATATCTAATCTTACACATTTGTAAGAGTATTTCTATAAGGTGGATTCCTGGAAGTGGCGACTGGGTCAAGAGGTGTGCCCATTTAAAAATTGACAGGTCCTGCTAAATTATCCTCTAAAAGATTTGTATCAAATTATAATCCCACCAACATGTGTAAGAATGCCTTTTCCCCCACACTCCCACTAGCATCACATTTTAAAAATATTAGTGGTATTAATTCTTTGTCAATTATATTTGTGGCTAACATTTCCCCCAATCTTGTTGTTTCTTTAATTTTTATGATGTATTTCAGAGTATATAACTTTCAAAATTTTATGTAGTCAAATCTCTTTTCTTACATATTGTGTGGGTTTCATGTCAAACTTAGCAAGGCCTTCCCCATATAAAATTATATAATTTATAAACATACTTTCTCATATTGGCTTATAGTACTGGTATTGCTTTGTTTTGTTTTTTTTAAAATTAATTTATTTACTTATTTTTGGCTGCGTTGGGTGTTTGTTGCTGTGCACAGGCTTTCTCTAGTTGCTTCGAGCAGGGGCTACTCTTCGTTGCAGTGCGTGGGCTTCTCACTGCGGTGGCTTCTCTTGTTGCGGAGCACGGGCTCTAGGCGCACGGGCTTCAGTAGTGTGGCTTGCGGGCTTTAGGGCGCAGGCTCAGTAGTTGTGGCGCACGGGCTTGGTTGCTCTGCAGCATATGGGATCTTCCCAGACTGGGGCTTGAACCTGTGTCCCCCGCATTGGCAGGTGGATTCCTAACCACTGTGCCACCAGGGAAGCCCTGTTTTTTTTAACATTTAGATCTTGAATACACGTAAAGTATATATTTTGTTTATAGTGTGATATAGGACTCTAATGGTATTTTTTTCCAACTGAAATAGCCCATTATTTGAATACCATTTATTGAATACTCCATCATTACTGTACTCTACTCTGCCTTTTTCATATGCTAATATGGGTTTATTTCTGTAGTTTCTTTTTTTCTGTAACACCACACTTTTTTTTAAAATTTATTTATTTTTGGCTGCGTTGGCTCTTTGTTGTTGCATGGGGGCTTTCTCTAGTTGCAGTGAGTGGGGGCTACTCTTCCTTGTGGTGGGCGGGCTTCTCATTGCGGTGGCTTCTCTTGTTGCGGAGCACAGGCTCTAGGCACGTGGGCTTCAGTAGTTGTGTCACGCAGGCTCAGTAGTTGTGGCTCACGGGTTTAGTTGCTCCATGGCATGTGGGATCTTCCCAGACCAGGGCTCAAACCCATGTCCCCTGCCTTAGCAAGCAGATTCTTAACCACTGCGCCGCCAGGGAAGCCCCACACTGTTTTAATTATTGTGGCTTTATAGTCCATTTTGAAATCTGGTAAGGCTTTTAATATTCCTTTTTAATATCCATTTTAATGATGTCTTTTTAAATGTCCTTTAGTAAACATTTATTGTTTTCATCATATAGATCTTACACATTTCTTGTTGGGTTTGTCTACTCCTATATATTTTATGGTTTTGTTACTAATATGAATGAGATCTTTTTTCTTTACATTTTCTAATTTGTTTATTATAGTATATGTAAAAGCCATTGATTTGCACATGTTGCTTTTTTAAGTGGCTGTGTTACTGACTCTCATTAATTCTCATTTTTTTTGGTTGAATTTCTGAATAGACAAGCATATCATTTCTAGTCTTAGAGTATTGACCCTTCCTAATATATATACCTCTTTTCAGTTTTTTTGTGTTATTGTAGTGGGTAGGACCTTCAGAGAAGTATTAAATAATAGGAGTGGAAGCAGCCTTCCTTGTCTCATTCTGGAATTTAATAGAAGTGCCTCTAGTATTTTATTATTAAGTATGATATTTGCTGTTGATTTTTGAAGGATGCCTTTTAGCAAATTAAGGAGTTTCATTCAGTTTCTAGGTTAAGGGATTTGGGACATTTAAAAAAATCTATATTGAATGTTAACTTTGATCAAATAACTTTTCCATATCTTGAGGTTATATTTATTAATGTAGTAAAGTACATTAAAGAATTCCTAATATTAGACTTCCGTTGGATTCTTGAAATGAGTCCTATTTGTTCGTGTTGTATTATTCTTTTAATATTCTGCTTTGATAATTTTCCTAAATAGTTTAGCTTGGTTCTTTATATCTGTGTTAAAGTGACATTGTCTTACAGTGTGTGTGTGCTAACTTTAGTTTTCATATTCGAATTGTGCTCACGTCATAGAATGGATTTTGGAACAAATCATATTTTTCTATGCTCTGGGATAGATTACGTTTTTTGGCACAGAGAGGGAATGTACATCTCCCAGTGACTTTGAAGTGTTTAATGACAACCCCATGTGGTGACTTAACAGATTGCTTATATAGCAAGACAGGAATATATGGAAAAAAAACATAGAATATTGTTGCTTATATTTATAGACATTCAGTGGCTGTCCTTTGGCAGTTATCTCTGGATATGAAGAGATGAAGGTCAAATTACATATCAGAGTAGAATTGAGCTATAGTCTCTGTACAACTTTTTAAAAGGGAAAAATAGGTACATTTACCTTTGTTATTCCTTTAAAAAGTTAAAAAAATATATTTTATTCTGGCAGAGGGAGATTTCTAAATGGATTCAAAGAGAATTTCTATGCTGAAGTGTTAAATTCTAAATTGCTTTTAATCCTTTTAAAGTTGCGTGTTGTATCACAAGATGTGAAATTGAGCCTTCATGAATTGGATGAACTTTATGTCATCTTTAAGGTACTGTTTTCCTTCTTTAAATGAAAAATAATATTCTTAGCAGAATTTTACCACAACCGTTCAACTATTTTATCTTTAATTACTTTAGTAGACATGTTTAAAAGAAAAAAATCTTATAAAGTTACTTTTTCTGATATGATGACTTTGCTTTTTTTTTTTTCCCATTTCTTAAATAGAGAGAGTTGTTTTTTTCTTACTATTGGTGTTTGAGTTCTCCAGTATTGAAGCACCATGATCCTAGTCTGCCATATTTGGAACAGTATCAGATTGACTGCCAGCAGTTCAGAGTGTTGTATCACTTGTTGAGTCCCTGGGCTCATTCTGCAAACAGAGACTCACTAGCTTTATGGACATTCAGATTGTTGGATGAAAACTCCGACTGCCTTATAAACTTCAAAGAATTCTCCTCTGCAATTGGTAGGATGATGTCCAATAATCTTCTTTTTTAAAGCAAAAAAAATAAAGGTACCCCTAGAAATACTTAGTACTGCCTATCATTGCCAATTTAGTCAGATTTTATCAGCCTGATATCAGATTTTTTATCAGATTTAAATTGTCTCCAACTTTAGCAATAACTGGACCATTTTCTTTGTTTGTTGCTAAGTCTAAATATATTCATCTCATTTTGCCCCAACCCTCCCAGAAAAACAAGCTGTTAGATGTGGATGTTTTAATGGTTAACATGAAGGAAGAGAATGTCCTGATTTTCCCACCTGCAGGCACATGGATTCTTCAGGAGGACGTTCTCCCTCAGTAGAAATCCAACCACATAGCCTAGAAAAATGGTAGAGAAATATTCAATGAACATTTTGTGCCTGTAGATAGTCCACTGGTTATATCATTCCTTTGCTTTTCCAGACAACCTAGCATGCTTTCTTATCAGGGATTGCCCCTTGAAGAGGAGTTCTCTCCTCAGATGAAGCATAAGGCCTCATTCAAAAGAAAAAGTAAATTTTAGATTGGGATTGGGGGAAAGCGTTCAGCAGAAGAGCATTTTATTTATCCCTCTGATAAAGGGTATTTTGCTTACATACTTCAAGGAGAGAATCTGGCCTACTAGGTAGTTGTTTAACAGTTAGTTTAAGTAACAGAAGGTTTCTGAATCCTAATTCCTGGCTAGTATCTGTGTCTTAATTAATCTATGTTGCTGGAATTGATTGAATGTTCTTTGGCTGTGATTATTTGCAATTTAATTTTATTGAACAGACATAATGTACAATGGAAGTTTTACTGAGAAGCTTAAGGTGCTTTTTAAGCTGCACATTCCTCCAGGTAAGAATTTAACAGTTGTTAGTGATGTATAGGAGTTGACTCCGTTTTAACAAGTATAATTACAGATATCATTCCATTTTAACAAATAACGTAATTTTCCATATGATATAAGGTCATTGCTTCATTGTGGCCCGTGGATCATATTAGCAATATTTTTGCTGATATATAGTTACACTGACATCTATGGAAGAGTTTCTGTGCAACAGATGGGTTTACAAGTTTCCTTCCTGTTAGTGTTCAATCAATTTAATGATAAGTAGTTTGTGTGTAGGGACTATCTATCATTTGAATATTGTCATAATGTTGAATTTTTATTGTTGTTGTTATTAGAGAGTTGAATTTAACTTTAGACAAACTGCTAAACTTGTGAAATACTACAAATTATTCAGAAAAATGAGACCAGGCAACAGGGATATTAAACATTTGGAAAAGGAAGCAAAATAGGGCTTCCCGGGTGGCACAGTGGTTAAGAATCCTCCCGCCAATGCAGGGAACATGGGTTTGAGCCCTGGTCCAGGAAGATCCCACATGCCGCGGAGCAACTAAGCCCATGTGCCACAACTACTGAGCCTGCGTTCTAGAGCCTGTGAGCCTCAGCTACTGAGCCCGTGTGCCACAGCTACTGAGCCCGTGTGCCACAGCTACTGACCCTGTGCTCTAGAGCCCGTGCTCTGCAACAAGAGAAGCCACCAAAATGAGAAGCCCACGCACCGCAACGAAGAGTAGCCCCCGCTCACTCCAACTAGAGAAAGCCCGTGCACAGCAACGAAGACCCAATGCAGCTAAAAATAAATATTTTTTTTAAAAAAGGAAGCAAAATAAAAGCTACCATTTATTGAGTACTTGCTCTGTCAAGGTGTTTGCTTTACGTGCATTCTTTTATTTAGTTCTCATGACATCCTTGAAAGGTGGTATTATCCTTCCAATTTTGACGATACAGAAACTAAGGGAAAGATTAAATTTGCTGAAGATCACATAGCTAATAAATTGGTTAGCTGAGATTCAAGCTGAAGTCTGACTCCAAAGCACAGGTTTCTTTCTATTCTACCATATACTGCCTTAATGTTACCACATCATTCCACTTTACTTATTTCCCTCTGACCTTAAGAGGCAGCCTTTTCCAGGCCTGATCCATAATTGGGAAACCAGTCTTAGACTTTAAAGGAACATTGCAAAAGTACCTTTTAGCTTAGATAGTGTGATTCACACACACACACAAAAAGTACCTCATAATTTGTCTAAAGCTACACCTAAGATCTTTTAGAGCCTTCCCGGGATAGCTGGGAACCATTCTTTCCCAGACCAGAAATCTAAAAGCCATCTTTAACCCTTCACAAACTCAAATCACAATCACAGCATTTAAAACAAAAGACAAACCAAATAATAACTATGAAGGACTTTACATTGTCAAGTCAAATTAGAATGTCTAATATTGCCATGGAATGAATACGCTTTCAATAGAAGGATCAAAAATAGAAAAAGCACTGTGTATCTGTTAGAGCACTCAACTTCGTGTTTTCCTTCTTATTAAAGACGTTTTTAAATGACTGAGGTCATGTTTTCAGAGATTCCCAAGTGCCAGATTTTTTTTTTTTTTTTTTTTTTTTTTTTTTTTGCGTTACGCGGGCCTCTCACTGCTGTGGCCTCTCCCGTTGCGGAGCACAGGCTCCGGACGCGCAGGCTCAGCGGCCATGGCCCACGGGCCCAGGCGCTCCGCGGCATGTGGGATCCTCCCGGACCGGGGCACGAACCCGTGTCCCCTGCATCGGCAGGCGGACTCTCAACCGCTGCGCCACTGGGGAAGCCCCCAAGTGCCAGATTTTTTAAACATTTTTTAAAACTTTTTATTTTATATTGGAGTATATCTGATTAACCCATACTTTAAAATTTCAACTTGTAGTGGCTCTTGGGAAACTATTAAAAAGCAAGAAATTTGGAGAAATAATAGAACTCAAAGTGATCAAGTACCTCTTGTTATTTGCTATACGGTAGAGTAATACTACTTCCACATTTCTTCACATATGTCTTTCTTTGACAGGGACCCTTTGTTTGATTCTCTGCCCCCAGATTTAATTGATCTATTATAGGACTTGTTTCTGTCCCTCATTGTTATAAATGTGATTTGGGTTATCTGTTTTCAGCTTATACTGAAGTGAAGTATAAGGACCCTTCAAAGGGAGATGAACTTTCCAAGGAAGAATTACTTTATTTCAGTCAGCTCCATGGTAAATATCTGTTTTAAATTTATCTGTTTTGGGACTTCCCTGGTGGTCCAGTGGGTGAGACTCCCTGCTTCCAATGCAGGGGACCCAGGTTCAATCCCTGGTCAGGGAACTAGATCCTGCATGCATGCTGCAACTAAGAATCTGCATGCCACAACTAGGAGGTCCGCATGCTGCAACTAAGAAGTCTACATGCCACAACTAAGAGCCCGCATGCTGCAACTAAGAGCTGGTGCAGCCTAAATAAATAAATAAATTTATCTGTTTTGATGATTAGTCACCCAGAGGTCTTTCTGGCTTAAACATTCTTTACCCAGCTACCACTAGTAAAATTTGGGTTAATTATACCTTATACTTCTTTTGTGCTACCATAACACTTAGCACAGTCCTAAATGCATGGTAGGTACTCTATAAATATTTGACTGATGAACTAAACTACATTTTGGGTTTTGATTTATGGAATTTCTTATTTACTGGAGAATTAGAAAGAAAATGCATTTTGTTTCTACTTCTGTAGCAGAAATTTCTAAAATGTATCCGACCATTTTTTATGCCTTGTTAAAATGCGATGAAGACAATAGAATCTTTGATGATTGAAGGTCATAGCTATTATTCAAACAGTAAATACTTATCATAAATCACTGTAGGTGTAGGAGACCGGGATGAGTCTGTCTCCAAGACATAATTTGGAAGGGTTATGAGCTAATTTTTGTGTCTTTTGCTTCTTTTTCATAAATATGAATGTCTTAAAGAGGGATAAGTTCTTATTAATGTATGTTTATGTTACTGTATGTTAGTGTTTGAAGTGACCTTACAAATCATCTAGTCAAGTCCCTTAATTATATAGAGGGCACTAAGGCCCAGAAAGGAGAAGTGACTCGTGTAAGAGTTTTCAATGAGGTTTTACCACAATCAGGACTAGTAGCTCAGTCTTTTGACTTCCGGTGTGTGTGTTTTTTTCCCCTGATAAAAGAAGTAATACAATTTAATTCGAAGAAAAGCACAAGGAAGAAAATACCACATACCACCCAGAAATAAATACTTAATATTTGGTATACTTGCTTCTAAGATTTTTGTTTGTTTGTTTGTTTGTTTTTTGTGGTATGCGGGCCTCTCACTGTTGTGGCCTCTCCCGTTGCGGAGCACAGGCTCCGGACGCGCAGGCTCAGCAGCCACGGCTCATGGGCGCAGCCGCTCCGCGGCCTGTGGGATCTTCCCGGACTGGGACACGAACCTGTGTCCTCTGCATCGGCAGGAGGACTCCCAACCACTGTGCCACAAGGGAAGCCCTGAGATTTTTTATATGGATTTTTCCCCAGTGTTCTTTTTAAAGTTCTTGAATACTTTGCCATCTAATGATAGGAGGTCAGGTTAGCTATAATTGGTTTGATGAATTGAAGAACATAAAGTGTGCATATAAGTCTTTATATAAAATATTATTTTACTTTCAAAAGGTATTTGTTAAATATTTTACAAAATGCAATTGTCCTCTTTTCCTCTAGTTTCCAAGCCTGCAAAGGAGAAGGAAGCAGAGTCAGCAAACAGCAGCACTGAAAAAGGTATATGATCTAGGAGTATCATTTAGTTTAAATTATTGTTTTTGTAAATAGGGTTAACTACACAAAGGGGAAACGTGGATTCCTTTTAAAGTCTATTGATTGATTTGTCCTGAGAGCTTTTTCAGTTCCTTTGTTTTAGTTTAACAGTTTCTTCTTCTCTTGATACTTAAGTCTCAGAAGTTATAGAAAATTCAATTGTAAATGACCTGTATTTATTTAATTTTATTATTTGAAAATATTAATTACATAAGTAATAGATAATCCTTATAAAAGGAATTTAAATGGTACAGAAATCCTCATACCCTCACCCAACCCCACCCTGAAGTAAATGTGAAAACATTTTGGTCTGTGTTCCTTCCAGACCTGTTTCGATGTATAAACAAATATAGATATCTCTCTTCTTTTAAAAAAGAAACATTTCATAAACATTGTTGTACAATTTGCTTTTTTGATTTTGTAGTATATCATGGGCATCTTTTCATGTCAGTACATTTGGATCTATCTTATTCCTTTTAATGGGTGCAGAGTATTCCACTGTTTGGTTGTACCATCATTTATTTCAGTAACTAGCTCAATATTGATGAACATTTAGGTTGTTTCCAATTAATTATATTGCAAACTGTTCTCCAACAAACATTTTTATACTTACATTTTATAATACTTTTGCACATATTTCTTTAGGATAGGATAAATTCATAGAGGTATGAGAATGCTGGATAACAAAGAATGTGCACTTTTAATATTTTGATAGAGGTTGTCAAATTGTTCTCCAAAGGTCCATCATTCTTTTTATGTTTTTGAGTAACATTTAGTTAAAAAATAATTGCTGAAGATCTGCTTAAATATGACAACTTTGCCAGGTTGTTCAGTATATCCTAGTTTTCTAAGAGATCTAAATAATTATTAATAAAGTCCCATTAATATCATTGTGATTAAACTCTTCAAAGGAATGAATGAATAAGTACTGTTTTGAATTTTTGAAAAAGAGTCACCATAGTATGTTATGGTAACTGCATACCAAGAACATCATATAGAAGCTATTTTAAACTTAGTGGTATGCATGAGAGCATCTACATGAAATTTACATCATGTACTGTTTAATCTAAAAGGCATCCTTCTTCCTCTAGTCCCCAACCTTTCCAAAGTAAAAGTTTTAGTTTAACGGAAGTGGAGAATGTATTTTGAGAGCCAGTGAGTGAAATAAAAAGTATAGTCAGATCAATTTCTGGAGTAAAAAATGTGCAGTCTTATATCTCAATGAAATATCTTTCAATCAAAATTGTTCTTTTGGGGATTTGGGAAAATATAGTGGGCTGTTCATTATGAAATGGTTTTATTCCCCTCACTGAGGAAAAGAAAAAGTTGACATTCAAGCATATCTAAGTCAATGGCAAGATGAGCTTTTGAAAAAAGAAGAAAACATTAAGGATTTACCAAGAATGAATCAGGTATAGTATTTTCAAAGAAAAATTCTGGTTTACTTGTGTGTTTTTGTATAAATGAATGTGGGTGTATCCAAATCTAAAATAGCTAACATGCTATTACAAAAATAAATAATCTATGCATCATCCCTGTAAGTTTCAAATGAGTATAGAAGAGTGGGAGTAAACTTTTAAATGATTTTCTATTGTAAACATTTAAATGCACCTAGAGTTTCATTACAGTCCTCTGCTGTGACATTTGTACCTATAGAAAAGATGTGTGTATAACACAGATTTCAATGTTTTTTATTTCCCGCTTTATTAGAAATGTTCACTTATTCAGTAAACATTTCTTAGTGCCTACTAGATGACATGCCCAATGCTAGGTAGTGGGAATAATAATTAAAATAGGTCACACCCTAGTTCCTAATCATCTTGAACCTGCTCAGACAGTATTAATGACTACTATTGACACAATTCTATTTTTTTTTTTTTTTTTTGCGATACGTGGGCCTCTCACTGTTGTGGCCTCTCCCGTTGCAGAGCACAGGCTCCGGACACACAGGCTCAGCGGCCATGGCTCACGGGCCCAGCCGCTCCGCGACATGTGGGATCTTCCTGGACTGGGGCACGAACTCGTGTCCCCTGCATTGGCAGGTGGACTCTCAACCACTGCGCCACCAGGGAAGCCCTATTGACACAATTCTAAATCCATCTCTTTCTTACACACTATTCAGTCATTATATGTTCTTATATTTTTTAATTAAAATCTGTTGGTATAGGGACTTCCCTGGCAGTCCAGTGGTTAAGACTCTGCGTTCCCAGTGCAGGGGGCACGGATTCAATCCCTGATCGGGGAACTAAGATCCCGCATGCCGCACGGCATGGCCAAAAAATAAATTAAAAAATTTTTTTTAATCTTTTGGTATAGATACTGAGGATTCCCAGAACTTTACCAAAATGAGAAATATGAAATAGCGTAGTTTTTCTCAGTGGACTAGGTAATTTGATAGTTAAATAAGTACTTTTTAAAATTAATCATGATATATTTATTCTAAATTTTTAATAAATAAACAGTATTACAGAGTAAGAAAGAAAGAGAAATAAAACTTAAAGTATGGTACAATACATTTTTATGAAGTTTATCTTTTTGCTTTTTATTTACATATAAACTTTTCTGGTAGCATGATTGACTTATAGGACTTTTGTGTTGGAATAGTTTCTTCTAGGAATGCCTATGGATTATCTAGAGGCAATTAGCAGGCAATCTAGGTTATTTCTTTACTTGGGCCCCACCTTAGCCTTTAAAGAGAAACATGTCCAAATGGGCTCCTTAGAGCTACCTTGTACTACTAGTTAGGTCCCAAAACATTCTTCCTTATATTTAAGTCATCCTAATTGAGCTGCCTGCTCTAGCCCTTTGGGGAGATCAAGGGGAACTCATTCTTAATCTGTTCATTAAGATTGGTTAATGAATGAATGATTTACATGTAAGGAAATACGGGATTTTGCCTAATTAAAAGTACCACCTAACATTGATGGAATGCTGGCAGATACTGTCCAAGAATTATTGTATATATAATATATGTATATAATTTACTGTTATTAGGCAACAGAGGAGAAGACTTAAGTGGAATTTTCTTTCATAGTTCATACCCATCTTTCTAGAATCAAGATTTATTTATGGATTAATCATCAGTTCTTATAACTTCTGTGGTGAAGGTTATATGGTACAAATTCTAAATAGAAGACTATTCACTTCTAAGTTCTCCTGATATTTGCTAAGTCTGATATCAAATGTGATATTTCTAACTTGTGTCTTCTAGTCACAATTTATTCAGTTTTCAAAGACACTATATAACTTATTTCACGGGGACCCTGAAGAAGAGTCATTATATCAAGCCATTGCTGTTGTAACCAGCCTTTTGCTCAGGATGGAAGAAGTTGGAAGGAAACTCCATAACCCTGCGTCATCAACCAAAGGATTGTCTGGTGCAGTCTGTGCTTCTGGAGGACCCAGTGAGGGGCAAACAGAGAGCCACTTAGAGAAAGATCCCTCCTCTCTCAGGGAAGAACCTCAGTGGTCATTTGCATTTGAACAGATTCTCGCCTCTTTGTTGAATGAACCAGCATTGGTGAAGTTTTTTGAGAAACCCATAGATCTAAAAGCCAAACTAGAAAATGCAAAAACCTCTCAGTTAAGTTCTAGAACCAGGAAGTAAATCTTTTAACAGGAATTGCTTATTATAGACATTTACCAAGATTCTCATAGGCGTCAGCTTGATTTCTAGGAGTAAGGATCAGGGATTTTCTTGTTACCAATGTATTTGAAGGTTAAAAAGAAGATATTTGGAAGCACAATGATTCATTCCTTTGTGGTGTTATCTAATTTTGATATTCTCTAATACAAATATACTTTTTATATTTCACAAGGTATGCAATTATCAGGGGGAGTATGCTAAATGCTAAATTTTACCACCAGAGGGCACCACCATATCAGTTTTAGCAAGGAAATTACTAGTTTGTGCTGCTATTTACATATGAATTACGGATGATTTTTGAAAATGTGGTGTTATGTTTGAGTGTTAGTGATGCTGCCACATCATATTGATAAATCCTACTTTCCAAATTGCCTCAGTCCTATTAGAATGCTTTAGAAAAGCAGGCTCTTAGATCTGTAGCCTTAATTATCTAGAGGATTACCATATGGGAACCTCATTTTCACATTATCTAACTGAAATAATATTAACTTTTTAAAGTTAATCTCATTCAGTCTTCTAATAATAAATGGCTTTTTAATGAATTCTATCTTCTCCCTACCTGAGCAGTTCAGAAGCTGCTGACACACTTGTAGCTCTGTTACTGATAAAAACAAAGAACTCAAAACTCTGGGCCGATACAAGAAAAACAATTTTGGACTTGGATTTGAGCTGGTTAAAGCCAGCCAATTCAGAAGAGTTAATAAACAGTACAATTAACTGTGTACAGTTCTCTCATTAGACTGAGAAATTACTTGAAATTCCGAGCACTGCTCTTTGTGGCATTTGTCTCAGAGTAGCTTGAGACTGCTTTGGTTCTAGTTTTAGATTTTGGATTTTCACCAGTCATATTTTAAATTACATTAGATAGACTGAATTATTGGATTAGTCTGGCAAGTTCATAAAGTATATAGGCATACCTCAATTTTATTGTGCTTCACAGATACTACATTTTTTTTTGTTTTTTGTTTTGGGGTTTTTTTTGGCTGCTGCAGCTTGCAGGATTTTAGTTGCCTGCAGGGATTGAACCCAGGCCCTTGGCAGTGAAAGCGCAGAGTCCTAACCACTGGGCTGCCAGGGAATTCCCACAGATACTACAGTTTTACTGAAAATGAAGGCTTGTGGCAACCCTGCGTTGAGCAAGTCTATCAGTGCCATTTTTCCAACATTTGCTCACTTTGCATCTCTGTGTCACATTTTGGTAATTCTTGCAATATTTGGAACTTTTTCATTATTATTATGTTTGTCATGGTGATCTGTGATCAGTGGTCTTTTTTTTTCCTTGCGGGTTTTTTTTTATTCAAACAGAAAGTCACAAAAATTATAATCATCCTCATCAGTTCACTCAATCCCATGTAATTAATTTTTTTTCATCTTGATCTTTTGTTAGCATTTTTATGAATTCATCAGTTTTCCATTAGAGTTCTGAAAATGCTTATTTATTCAGTTCAGCAGTATAGTCAGTTACCAGAAACCTGTACTTGTCAGAGTCTTTTCCATGAATTCCTTGAAGATGAAACTCTTTTATAGGAACATTTTTGCAAAAGCATCAGAGTGCACCCATTTACTGTCTGTAAATGACAAAAGAGTTAAATGATCAGTGATCTTTGATGTTACTAATAGGACTCACTGAAGGCCTAGGTGATGGTTAGCATTTTTTAGCAATAAAATGTTTAATTAAAGTATGTACATCATTATTTTAGACATAATGCTATTGCACACTTAATAGACTACACTATAGTGTAAACGTAAGTTTTGTACACCCTGGGAAAACAAAAAATTCATGTGACTCGCTTTATTGCAATATTTGCTTTCATCGAAGTGATCTGGAACCAAACCTGCAACATCCAAGGTATGCCTGTACTTGTGCATAATGATTGTTAAGATAATGTATAGAATTTTGGCATCTGTCTAAAAAGTTGTAATCTATTTGATTTAGATGTGTAATTTCTATATACTTTATGCTGCTTATATTTCAGTCATTACAATGAAAGTTCATTTAGAGATAATGGGCTTTGTTAGCACTTTAAAGAAAAAAAACACACCTATCCAATCTTCTGTGCTGTTTCTGATAAGAACAATTTATTAATCAGTTGATTTAGGAAATTGTGGGGAGAAGTCATCCACTGGAGCTTCTTTCTTCACAAAAGACTTTGGTTTTGAGCCTTTTGACTTTTCAGATTTGAAACAGTGAAAGGGCAGATATCCTTTAGGACAACCCAAGAAGTCTCCCTTTCTGGAAAAGAATTGGTATAGTCAGCCTTTGGCAAGAATCCACTGTGAACAAAGCCTAACACAGAGGGCTTCATCACCACAGGATATGTTATTTTCAGAGATATTCAAGAATTTTCAAGTTGACCCTTTGAAAATTTTGTAAATTGAGCTTGGCCAAACACTTACTAGTAGTGTCTTGAAAATTATTTTGTCAAATTTGTCTTCTCAAGGAAATTACCACTTAAAGAGATAGTTGGTAAATAAACATCTGTGCCTTTTCTCAGAAATTATTTGCCTGAAACATGTCCAAATTTTAGAGTTTAGTTAATAGTTTATATGTGAACTATCACACATCTGCTATTAAGCAATGATTGTTAAATTACACTACAGTAGCTCTATAAAGACGCAAGGCTCTATGCTTATATACAAAGGCACTATTGCACATACTTTGTTGAACATTTTGTCAATTGTATTTACAAGAAAGATACTTTCTTAACATACGTTATTAATATTTGGTGATTTTTAAATCATAATATTGAAGATTACTTAGTATTGTATTTTAGCCTAGATTAATTAAAATTGAATACCTAAAGATTTCTGAATTGCAGAAAGATTATAAATGCAAGTTAAAAAGACGAACATTTATTTTCTGAGTCTGCAGGAGACATAAGCTGAACACATAGTTTTGTAGTTGCTACCTTGTTAAGCAAATGGGTTGTTCTTAATGTTTAAAATCTTATGTAGTTGTGGGGCTTCCCTGGTGGCGCAGTGGTTGAGAGTCCGCCTGCCGATGCAGGGGACGTGGGTTCGTGCCCCGGTCCGGGAGGATCCCACATGCCGCCGAGCGGCTGGGCCCGTGAGCCATGGCCGCTGAGCCCGCGCGTCCGGAGCCTGTGCTCCGCAACGGGAGAGGCCACAGCAGTGAGAGGCCCGCGTACCGCAAAATAAATAAATAAATAAAAATAACTGTTTAAAAAAAAAAAAAAAAAATCTTATGTAGTTGTGTCACACTGAACTAGTGCATTATACCTTATGCATTAAATTGTTATAAGGTGACTTTACTGGTCTTTATAAAAAATGTTATAAATCTGTTAAATAAATATGAAGAATGGCTTACTTAAAGATCTTACTATTATTTATTATGATGTACTTTTATAGATACTTAACTCAGTTATCACTTGAGGACTTCCCTCCTATATTAGTTAAGTTTCAGTTGCAGAGAACAGAATTAATTCTCATTAGTTTAGGCAGGAAAAGATTTATTACCAGATATTAAGTGGCTTACAGAATTATCTAGAGGACTGACTCTAAATTGAGCTTTCAAGAACAATCTCCAAAACTATACCACAGAACCAGGCCACCAAGGGAGTTGCTAATTCTTCTGCTGTTAGGAAACTGCTACTTCCTACTCCATGATGAAAAGCCAGCACTACAGCTGCTACTTCCAGAACCACGCTCCACGTGCTATGGTTTATACCAGCAAAATGGATGCCAAGCATCCTGCCTCTCAGCACCCACAAGCTAGTGACTAAATTGCAATAGAACAACCAAACATCTGAACAACCATGTTTACCAGCAGAAATGGCAGAAACTTAGCCTCCACCTTCCTTCTGCCATTTAAGTCTCACGAGTGTGCATCTCATTGGCCTGTAATATCTCCAGAATTTTAGTTGCAAGGGAATCTGGGAAATGTACTCTTAGCTTTTTAGCCCCTGCAGTACAGGAAGGCATACTAAGAGGCTGGAATGGACATCGAGCACTATATTTGCTTTCTCTTGCTGTGTAACAAATTATCACAACACACATTATCTCACCATTTCAATGTGTCAGGCCTCTGGGCTCAGCTTAGCTGGGTCCTCTGCTTAGGGTCTCATAAGGCTGCAAAACCAAGGTGTCAGCCAAGCTGGTTCTCATGTAGAGGCTTAACTGGGGAAGAATCCACTTCCAAGCTCACTCAGGCTATTGACAGAAATGATTTCCATATGGTTATAGGTCTGGAGGCCCCAGCTTCTTGTAGGTGGTCTCCTGGAGGCCACCCTCAGCTCCTAGAGGCTTTACTCAGCTCCCAGCAACTGCCCTCAACTTCTTCGGGCTGCCCAACCTTGCCGTGTGGGCTGCCCTCAAATGGCCACTTACTTCATCAGTCTAGCAAGGAGAGTTTCTAAATCAAGTCTGCTAGCAAGGTAGCGTCTTATATAATAAGAACCTAGGGGCAGGGCAGGAATAATGACGCCGATGTAGAGAATGGACTTGAGGACACGGGGAGGGGGAGGGGTAAGCTGGGATGAAGTGAGATGGTGGCATGGACATATATACACTACCAAATGTAAACCAGATAGCTAGTGGGAAGCAGCCGCATAGCACAGGGACATCAGCTCTGTGCTTTGTGACCGCCTAGAGGGGTGGGATAGGGAGGGTGGAAGGGAGGGAGATGCAAGAGGGAAGAGATATGGGGACATATGTATATGTATAGCTGATTCACTTTGTTATAAAGCAGAAACTAACACACCATTGTAAAGCAATTATACTCCAATAAAGATGTTTAAAAAATAATAATATAGTCTCACAGTAGTGACATATCCACTTTGCCATATTCTGTTGGTTAAAGGCAAGTCACAGGCCCCGTGCACTTTTCAAGGGGTGAGGATTACACAGGGCATGAGCGTCAGGAGGCAGGGGTTATAGGGGGTGCGTTGTAGAGTCTGTCCACCACAAGCATCTATGTTATTCACCTCTTTTCCCACGCAGCA